ATGCTCATTGCCAGGGATCTCGACCTCTTGCCAACCTATGGGTCTGCAAAAGTCCTAAGTGATACCAGAGCAAAGCTTGGGGAGTGCTCAAGAGAAGAAGGGGGGCTGGTATGATGAAAAGGCCCAGGAAAGAGCATTCTGTCCGAGTAAATTGCTTTTGGCAGAATCAGAACCTGTGGATTTGTTGCCGCTGGAGAGCTAAGGAGTCTAGTCGCTCTGCAGCTGCAGAAGCACTTAAAACCTTGCAAGGCTAATCCCTACCTAACAAACCAAAGATTAAAGAAATAGAACCAGATGAAAATCTCAGTGCATCTAAAATAAACCAAGTGTTTGATATTGTGCTTAAAAGAAACCTGTCTGTGAATTTGGAGGTGACCCATGATAGTGGTTCCCCACATAGGGAGAACTTTGCAACAAAAGTACCTGTGGGTGAAGTTGTTGGTGAGGAGGAAGGCATGAGCAATAAGATCTCAAAGAAGGACATATCCATAGATGTTCTGGAGGAGGAGAATGAATTGCCTACTCTTTCCCCAGCTGAGAAAGTGAAGCCACAAGCCAGAAAGAAAGCAGGGTTCACCAGGAAACAGCAAGTGGAGAAAATCCAGTGGACATTAGAGTGCCAGGTGACTGATGAGCGTCGAAGAGAGTGTGGACTTCAAAACCAATCCTAGTTGCACTGGACTACAACTGGGAGTTCATTGTGTACGTCAATGTGTCAAGTGTGGGTCTGGGAGACGTGCTGTGCCAAGCGGATGGCAGTGGGAGTCTACACCCAGTGACTCTGATCAGCAGGAGATTCTGACCTGGTGAGATACATTTGTCTGCCATCAAGAGGGCATGCCTATCAATTGTTTTGGTCACTGCAAAGACTGAAGCCGTACATTTGGGGAAGGAAATTCATCCTTTGCACCGACCCTTTCCCTCTGGTGTGGCTACAAACTATGGAATCCACTAACAATACGCTTGCAAGATAGACACTGAACTTGCAAGACTTTGACTTTGTAATCCGCAGTGTAAAAGGGACTCAGAGCATGGATGCTGATACCTTGCCCAAATGACTAATGGGGGTGGATAAACAAAGTTTGTAATGTTTTATTAAATGTTCTATTTGTGTATAGTATGAAATATGAATAAAATGCAAAGTTTGGATGCTGATGGACTGAGAGGTGTAGAATGATGGTAAAAATAATGGTGAGTAGCCTTATTGATGTGGAGGTAATGTAATTTGTATTGATGTAAGTAATGCAAGAGGTTGGTATGTCTTTATTGATGCAAAGGTGATGCAATGCAATTGGTATTAATGGGGTTATGTACTGATTGTTTTAAATGTTTAAAGTAGTAGTTTTGATTTGGTAAACATAGAGAGAAAATTTATTATAGAGTACGCATAAGTATTGGTAAATTATTGTTATACTTGTTTGTACAATACAGTGGTGCCTCGCTTAACGAGCGCACCGTACAGTAATTTTATACTGGAAAAATTATTATATTATATTATATTATATTATTTATTTATTTATTTACTTATTTATTTTAATTCTAATTTTTTAATATTGTGAACTGCCTTGAGTCTCCTTACCAGGAGAGAGGTGGCCTATAAATTAGAAAGAAAGAAAGACAGACAGTCAGATAGGCAAACAAACAAATAGTGTTTCTTCATTATCAGGAAACAGCAATAAACAAGCTAGATCTGCCTTGAAATTATATAGACCATCTCTCTTTTGTTTCATCTTTAATCAAAATAGTCTGAGGTTTTTTTTTCCTGAGTTTCAAAGATTTTAGGAGGAAACAAGTCAGAGCAGAATCCGAATGTAAACAAAACTTTCACACCTATGTGTCCAGTTAATGAATGTGAAATAACCATCGGGAGGGGGAGGAAAAGCCAAAGCAAAAATCATAGAACAACTAAAAGTCTTCTGCTTTATTAAAGCAATTCCAATTCTAATAGAGCGTAGAACCAGATTTCCAGTGATCAAGTTGATTTCTTGCTCAGATGGCTTCAAAAAGTGACTAGATAGAAAATTCATGCAGAAAAACTCCACCAACATTTATATAACTGTTACCTAGCTATATTTCTTTATTCATATTGGAGCACTGTACAATTTAAAATCAAGTTTATAATGCAGTGCTTCTGGAAATCAGGGATTAGCTGGCTGCATGTTGTTGTCCAGGAGATGCCCAGGTGTTCTCGCAATCCTTTTCCATTCTTCAAGGAGGCTCCTTCTCTGTCCCCCATTAACTTGCTATGACAGTTGGGCAGGGAAGTTGCTGGCCCACGTTTACAGGCGGCACACCTGAAAACAGCAGATGACTAGAAGGGCATGAAAAGACAGTAACTGTGGTTGACTTGTGATAGCCCTGGGGGTTTATGTTCAGGGAATGACTGCAACTTGGGTGGCAATTGATGGGAAACCTGCGAGAAAGGAATCAGTTTCAGATCAGTGGTTTTGGGTGAGGGGGACTGGCTTATGTAGTTGTAAGCAAGGCAGATAGCAAGAGTTGAACCTTTTCAATTTCCAGTGTAATTCCATACATAGAACGCTACTACACACACAACTTTCCTCTCCCTACTGCATTTAAGAACATGTTTCTGCACCTCCCTGTCACACATTTTTTAAAGACATGTGAACTTTGTAACAATATTTATGGGACTTTAATTTTTTTCCTGATGAAGGAGCTGCTTTATTAATCATTGCTATAATCAGAGCTATAAAATGCTCCCTAACCATGTTTTTTTCATAAGTAAATCCTAAATTGTAAAGCTACCTCCCTCCCCACTTTACGATACCTGATTGAGTGTTTTATAGATTTCAGGTTATTAATTAAACTGACTCCTTACAGCAACAAGCAATAAATCAAGTATCCCTGCATGTGATTGCTTAGAGGGCAACCTAGAGATGCCCATTCTCATTTTAAAGAAATGAACACTGTACTGAAACTAAAGATCCATAACTCTGTTTACCTAGAAGTAAAGCCCACTGAAATCTTCCCTGCAGAAGACACTTGAAGGGAAATGGTGTCACGGAGAGCAACTGAAAGAGCCTATGGATGTAGATGGTGAAACTCAGCTTATACTCCAGAGAATGACAGTGGATTAAGATCCCAATGCAACTTCTGCTTTAAACCTACTTCTGTTTTTTGCCTCTTTTTCAAGAAAGAGTAAGTGGCAAATGAGGCTTGAGAAAAAGGGAAGAGAAGACAGGGAACTTAGGGTGCTGTTACACGATTGAAATAAACTGGGCAATGGATTGGGGTTTTTGAATTTGGTTTAAAGTCACATGGTAGTCATGTGATTTTTGGGTCAGTGTGTGTGTGTCCTCTTGGGAAAACTTTTAATCCATTCCTAAATTGTGTTGCATATACATTGAGAGAGCCAAATGGGTGTTTAGAATCATTGCATTTGAAGCTTTGTCTTGCACTCACCCACTCTTGCACTGGTTGCCCATCACAGTCACTAGTCACAGCTGCTGTGTTGTTATTTTTAATAATTCACTATTATTTTTATTTCTTGCAACTTGGCATAATGTTGGTCCAGAATGACAGACTGAAAAGACTGAAACAGAGATTTCCCTACAGATCAACACACATACATGGTCAGGCACACATATGGGAGATGGGGAAGGAGAGAGAGCAATGGATCCAGGAACTGACTAGATGTTGACTGGGCTTGTGAAGGAGGAACAGACACACAGAAGGTGGAGTAGGAGCACTGAGTCACCATCCTGGGCTAAAATTGGCCAGAGACATTTTGACAAGGTTTCACAAGTGAATTAAAATAAACAACCCTCTCGCAGCGAAGTAAAAAATCTCACTTTCCAAACAAAACACACACTTCCCAGGCAAAAAACAAAACAAAAACAAAACACTTTCATAAGTGTCATCTAGTTACCTTTTTAAAAATTGATTTAAAATATAGTTTTAAATCAATTCAAATATAGTTTCCCTCACACATGTAATCATGCCTTAAGACAAGTCAAGGATTAGTGAAGGATTGCTGAAGGAACTTTACAATATGGAGGTGGGGGGTTACAATCGACTAACTCTATCTGGTGATTAAACCAAAGTGTAACCCCTAACTTGTTTTCTCCAGCCCCGCAGCCAAAAAGAAATGAGTTTCAAAGCAAGCATTGTGAGTATGAGTGAGTGTGTGGGCCAATCACAGAATAATTGGGAGCCTTTTGGTCATAGGAGAGGGGTGTAAAAATACTGAACCATGCTGTAGAATGGCTTGAGACCAAGACCATAGCCTCAGAGGAGTGACATCAACTCTCACAGACATGTACCACCAATATTTGGACTCGTATGCACAATTTTCTGTACTATTTATACATGGGTTGTGTGAAGCCTGAAAAAGTGGAATTTTATCCAGAAAAGCTTGCGATTTGAGTTTTAGTGGCCCAATAAAAGCTAGCACTCACTCTTGCATTTTTAGTGATTTGAATCTTTTACATGTTTGTGTACTTACTGTTTTTAGCTTGTAAATATAGTATTTTAATTATGTAAACCAACTTTGGTCATTTTGAAGAGGAAAGGCAGGGTAAATAATTATAAACAAACAAACAAATAGTTTCACAAAGCACTTTGTTCAGGAGACAGAAATAGCTGATTTGCAACTTTTAGTTACAAATGAGGCCATGCACTGTAGGGTGCTGTAACTGATTCTGTAGCACACTTAAAAAAACAACGGGACTTCATAAATACAACAACATTCTGGACTGAGTAATATATTTTATTGAGTCACTACAATTTTGCCAGTTAGGCGATATGTTATGTGAATGTTCCTGCTTTGTGGACTGAGGGCAGTTTCATTTCACAACGGCTGTAAAAAAAGCTAAAGGAGAGTTCCGCTCCATTACATCACTCTCGCTTTTTCTTTTTTGGCCTTCTGCCATCTTCCTTTGCTGAGAGCATGATGAAATGAAAACTCCACCCTTTTTAAATAAGTTAATTTCCAAGCGTATAAATATCTTTTCCATGGCCAAGGCTACAATTTTGTGAAGAAGGGAGTTCAGTCTTGCTCTGTTGTGAGCTCCTGCAATATGGAAGGGCTAGATTGGAAAGAAGGGGCACACCTTCACCGTGAGGCCAATAAACCTAGAAAGACTTTGATGATCACCCTGTGGCTTGTGGCATGTTTGGTCATCTTGGCGCTGGTTTTATTTTCATTTCTCATAGCTTGCTTTCTTCTCCATCACAAACAGGTAAGCAGACAATCTCTAAGAAGATATGATTATTTATTTAAAGCATTTTTACTCTGCTCTACAACTGAAAAGACTCCAAGAATGGTTGGTGTAAGATCAATAGGAATCAGCAACAGAACAGTTCCTGCCCTAAGGTTTATCATCTTAAATAACAACAAAAACAGCAACTCCTCACAAAAGAGGAAAACACTGTCAAGCATGAGGTCTTAAAAATTGCAAAGTTTCTAGGACCAGCTTTAAAACAATTCAGGAAGAGTCTGGTCAATGAGCAGGACTTTTCAAGTGGGCCCTGCTGCCCTCTTCCTCAGCTGCAGCCTGAGGGTGTGTGTACCTGTGTTGCTTGGTGATCTTTGAGAAAGGGAGGAGCTTAATGAAGCTGATCTGTCTGCAGAGCTTTGCTTCCTGCCTCTCCCTGTGCTCCAGACTTGTGGAATAGTGATGGTTAGATCTAATGATACACT